ACTGCATGCAGCGAGGCTAACTGCCTGCAGTAAGGCTAATGCTGTATCCTGCTTTCCCTGCCTCCATTTTCAAAGGTCAGGATCTGAGCCAGCGTAGATAAAGACAGCTAGGACTGATTTAAAGCACTTTATAGAAAAGAAGAATGAACAATCTGGGATTCACATGGAAAATATTAGAATATAGTCTATTTTTTCTACATGATTGTTCATTTGCATAGTTGATCCTTAAATGAACACATTCTCAGAAAATAAAAAATGTTTACATAAAATAAAAAATCTTACCTGACTAATAGCTTCTCCATTATTAAACTGGTGCATTATTTTTTAGGTCAATATTGAACCATAAAAAAAAAATACATATTTACCTCCAAAAAGCCTCAGTAGGGCTGATTTATGTACAAAATGTGAAGCTATTCATGAAATCATGTTTTTTTTCATAATGTTTTTTTATCGTTGGCATTTATATAAATATACGGGTGTGATAACCTAGTATACGTTGGATAGATTTTTGGTATATGTGTATTTTTAAGATATAGCCCCCCGGAGCCGCTGCTATGTTGTGAATCCGTCTTTAGGATATGAGATGAACAAAATGTAAACAACTAAAACAACAATTCCAGCATCATCATTTAAAAGAAGAAGCTCTAAAGGTCAGGGTTCCTTCTAAGGTTATAGCATTTAGAAAGTTGCTCCTACATTAGTTTTAATGTACATTTAGGTCCATATTAATGTGTTTTCTATATAAATCAGAATGACTTCAGTAAGGAATACGCTCCTGCAGCAATAGTTTCAGAGTTTTCCTCGGTTCAGAGTCAGACCCTTCAATAGAAGCGGCGTCGATCAATAGTGACAGTTATTAACATCTAATTGGTTCCTGCTCATAGACTGCAGTCCTGCTCCGGCTCTGTGGCCTCAGAGAGTCTGAGCGTTTGGGAAGCAGAAAGGATTGTTATTCAGCTTTAATATGCAGGGAAACAGGAGCAGATGGAAGGTAATAATCTATCACTGCAGGCAGATTAACGGCAGTGATCAGGTGAAGGTTAAACCAGTCAATCTAGATTTCGCTCCTTAGAAACATTTCTTCTGCTTTTTGATGCCAGTATTAAAAGTTACGCAACAAAAACAGACCACTGAGCATCAGTGAGGTTTTATCATTTATTCATTACGATATGATGGTATTAGTACCAGAGGGGGGAAAGTAGATTGATAACTGAATTTCTCCTCATATGGAGTTTATTAATTCAGTGATGGGTGGTTTATTATGACATAGATCTACATTTCCAACCCTAAACACAGTTAATGAGCCACATAAGAGGAGTTTCCATGAGTAAAAGCTTGGACTGATTGTTCCTTATGTTCCTAACAGAGCACTTCGCTCTCAATCTGCAGGTTTACTAGTGGTTCCTAGAATTTCCAAAGTAGAATGGGAGGCAGATCTTTTAGTTCTCAGGCTCCTCTCCTGTGGAACCAACTACCAGTTTTAGTCCGTGAGGCAGACACCCTGTCTACTTTTAAGGCTAGGCTTAAAACTTTCCTTTTTGATAAAGCTTCTAGTTAGAGTGGCTCAGGTTATCCTGATCTATCTCTATAGTTCTGCTGCTATAGGCTTAGACTGCTGGAGGACATAGGGACCCCTTTTTCATCATTCTGCTTCATTCTATCTCTATTCTCCCACTCTGCAGAATCTGTTAGTTCAATCTCTAACGTTCTGCTCTCTCTGCTTTTTCTCATAGTAGCTTCATCTGGTCTGTTCCTGTTTGGCTGTGACTCCATCCTGGAGAGAAATATCAGCTGTGCTGCTGCCATCAACACCTTTGTTTCTAGATGTTGGAGCTTGGCCTGTTTTCCAGTGTAGTCCTGTTTCTCTGACTGTGACTAACTGGATGTGCTCTCTTCATCCTCTGACATGGGAGCTGGCTCGGAGCTCGTCTGCCTGGCTGTGTGTTTCCTGGACGGGCCGCCTGTGGAGCTCGTTGACAGTTGCCTTTTGTATCTATGCTTCTATTTCTATGTCTGGTTCTGTCTCCTTGAACCCCAGTGGGCCTCAGCAGATGGCCGCTCACACTGAGCCTGGTTCTGCTGGAGGTTTCTTCCTGTTCAAAGGGAGTTTTTCCTCTCCACTGTCGCTACAAGCATGCTTAGTGTGAGGGATTGCTGAAGAGTCAATGAGTCGATGCAATCAGCTGGTTTTCCTTAGATAGAAAACTTTGAATCAATCTGACTGGATGATCTGGTGAACTGGAAATACGCTTAAAAAAACCACAAAAAAATTAACTAATTAAAGTGTTTTTTTTGTACATGACTAAAGGGATACATGTGCGTTGATGTAGTTTAAAGTTTATTTTTCATACAAAACTAAAGGAATAAACTAAAGTGATAAATGGGTATGCTGGTCTGACGGAAAGCTTCACCCTTGCAGCTTTGACTCCAGACCTGCTGCTCTTCTGCTGCTGCACCATTTCCTCCTCCTCGCCTGGATGGAAGGTCGACTCTGAGTGAAGATGCTTTAAACTGAAGGAAAGTCCCAGCTTGCTGGAACTTTCCTGGTTGAACGCAGCTTTAAACCTCGAACTGATTCCTCCTGCATCAGAGTAAATCTCTACAGTCGACCTCCATGTTGGGAAGGTCACTATTTAAAAAGACATTAAAACAGAAAAGACGAATAGCGGCGGACATTTTTACGCACTGCGGGGCCTCGCTGCACACACTCTCTGAGGCAAGGTCGGGGGAGTGTGTGTCAGAATGATGGGGGGGGGGGGCACTCAGCCATAAGGGACCAGCCTCCCACTGCTGCCCTTTCCACACACACACACACACACCCAGCCACCGGCAGCAGCTAAAAAACGAGCCTTCGCAGCAGGCGCTGCAGCGTCATGGAGGCTCAGAGGACAGCTCCTCCTCCTCCTCCTCATCTACAGCAGATTTAACCTCACCAACCCGACATGTGTGTTCGTTAAAAGTGATGACTCTGCTATCAGCTGTTTGCCATTAGCAGCAGCAGAGACAGAATGACCTTTCTTCCTCTGCACCATCCTCCATGTTCTGACTCTGCAGAGTCGCTTCCAGCCTCCGAGATCCAGGAGGGACTTCAAAATGTCTCTGAGACAGAGACTGGACGTCCAGTTTCCTAGAGGACATAAAACTAAATCTAAAGTACTTGTTCATCTGACCTCTGACCCTGCAGCTTCTGTATACAGACTGTGGATCCAATCAGCTCGGGGCTATTAGCTCTAAAGTTTACCTGGATCCCAGGAGAACCAAAAATTTAGCATCTGCTGTAATTCAAAGTAAACTTTAGGGTCGGTTCTGTTTCCACCTGACCCGACATGGAGGAGACGTCCCTACTGGCAGGGGTGGATTTAGGAAATATGGGGCCCTGGGCATAGACAGGCAGGAGGCCGCTCACACTGAGCCTGGTTCTGCTGGAGGTTTCTTCCCGTTCAAAGGGAGTTTTTCCTCTCCACTGTCGCTACAAGCATGCTTAGTGTGAGGGATTGCTGAAGTTTCAATGAGTCGATGCAATCAGCTGGTTTTCCTTAGATAGAAAACTTTGAATCAATCTGACTGGATGATCTGGTGAACTGTAAAGTGACCTGAGATGACATGATGTGAATTGGAGCTATAGAAATAAACTGAATAGAAATGAATTGAATTGAGAAGTGTGGAGGAAAAAATGTTGAGGTACGTCTGTTCTTAGCCTCACAGGCTCCAAAAGATCCATCTGACCAGTGAAAGATAGATTAACCTAACAGGGAACGGCCTTAATGAACTAAAGTTGTTTTTCCTCCAAATGTTCGTGTGTGAGAAAGTTCTTTAAGCAGGGGGTGGGATAGTTCCAAGGGAAAGTGTGTGTTGGGATTTTGTAAGGTATAAATGTATCTACAGATCTTTATCTCTCCGTCTGAGGATGTTAAATACATTTGAACCTTATCTTGCAAGAGTCTCAGTCTCTCCTCGAGTTCAGAAAAGAAAACACATAAAACAGACCCATTCTCCAGATAGAGAAATGTTAATAGAATAGACATCCATTATCTGTTCTAGGTTGTGTCCCTCTCTTCTTGTCCCTTTTCTTCTTGTTTTCCTCTCTATGTTTTGTACTCAGCTGACTTTTCATGCTGTCTCTAAAGGAATGAAAGATTTTTTCCAAGCACTAAGCTCACTTAGCTGATTGCTCCTTCCTGTGTTTCCAAAAAGGCCAAAGTAAATAACCCAGTCCTTCTTTTCACTGTAGACAAGCCATGATCTGCTTATCTGTTCTCCATTTTTCATTTGGATGAAATAATAGCTGCATGAATCATGACAGCAGACAAGATAGAGGAGAGCAGGAGGCGGGGTTACCAATCTACTCGCTCTGGAGAGCAGAGTCCGCTGCTTTTAGATGTTGTCTCCAAAGTCTCCAGTAGCAGAAAAAAGTCTCTAGATTTGGCGCTAGGAGCTTTTTAGAAATCAAAGTGCTAGAGGGGTCTGAAAAGTGGCTAAATATAGCGACTAAAGCGCTAAGTTGGCAACACTGCTCTTTGCATGGTTTGTTTTCAAATGGTTTGCTGCTGTCTGTTTGGACCTTTCTGAACATGTGCAGCAAATGGACTGATCCAATATGGTGGACACTGAAGGGGGGGGCTGAGACACACGTAATATTATCAGCGTTCTGATGGCATTTTAGCCAAAGGATTTTTATCAAAAACATAATTAATGTGAAAAAATAAGGAATAGTTGTATTAACCATACATGGAAACAGAGTTTTATGGGGCCCCCAGGAACTTGGGGCCCTAGGTACCTGCCTAGTATTACCTAATGGTAAATCCTCCCACTGCCTGCTGGTCTGGCTAACTGGTTCCACACTGCTTTCCTCATGTTCTTGTTCTTCCTGCTGGTTGTCAGACGGCGGCAGGAAACGTAACTTTATGTAGTCTAAAGGTAAAACTAAAGTGACCCTGATGGGTGTGAAAACAGAACCCAGAAAAGCCCAGAGCCCGTCGGGTGTGTCAGTGTCTCCTTACTTGGGGTGAGTGAAATCGTCCACCAGGGTGACCTTCTCCACCAGGTCTCCTCCCACCATCCGCACCAGCTCATAGAAGTCGTTCTCAGTGAAGCTCTCTGGCAGCCAGAAGGAGATGTCGTTGAGGAGCGGCGGGTATTTACTGAGAGGCTGGAAGGAGACAAACACACAGAAGCAGACCATGTTTACAGGCTCTTCAGGCTTCTGATCACATCCTCCCGCTATGGAGCTCCCAGCAGAGCAGTTATAACAGCAGCCATGTTTGCCGGTACTTGGCTTCATCATCCAAACAAAGTAACAGGAAGAATATTGACATTTTAGACGCAAAGAAGAGGTGAAGTAGAAGGAAAGCTGCCATCTACTGGTATAATGCTACGTATTTGTTTAGCTGCTCTTGTATTTGTGTTGCGGCTCTTGCATTTGTGTTGCGGCTCTTGCATTTGTGTTGCGGCTCTTGCATTTGTGTTGCGGCTCTTGCATTTGTGTTGCGGCTCTTGCAATTGTGTTGCGGCTCTTGTATTTGTGTTGCGGCTCTTGTATTTGTGTTACGGCTTTTGTATTTGTGTTGCGGCTCTTGTAATTGTGTTGCGGCTTTTGTATTTGTGTCGCGGCTTTTGTATTTGTGTCACGACTTTTGTATTTGTGTCGCGGCTTTTGTATTTGTGTCACGACTTTTGTATTTGTGTTACAGCTTTTGTATTTGTGTTGCGGCTCTTGTATTTGTGTTGCAGCTCTTGCAATTGTGTTGCGGCTCTTGTATCTGTGTTGTGGCTTTTGTATTTATGTTGTGGCTTTTGTATTTGTGTTGCGGCTCTTGTATTTGTGTTGCGGCTCTTGCAATTGTGTTGCGGCTCTTGTATCTGTGTTGTGGCTTTTGTATTTGTGTTGTGGCTTTTGTATTTGTGTTATGGCTTTTGTATTTGTGTTGCGGCTCTTGTATTTGTGTTGTGGCTCTTGTATTTGTGTTGTGGCTTTTGTATTTGTGTTATGGCTTTTGTATTTGTGTTGCGGCTCTTGTATTTGTGTTGCGGCTCTTGTATCTGTGTTGCGGCTCTTGTATCTGTGTTGCGGCTTTTGTATTAGTGGTGACACCTCTGGGCCACCGTACCTCAGGCCCGCTCCCTCTTGGGGGTTTTCCCCTCCTGTTGGTGGCGGCTGGAAGTAGATGTTAGCGTTTTTCAGGTCTGTGCTACAAACTGCAGGCAGCAGGATAATAAAAGCCAACATATTCTGCCGGCAGGTTTCTACATTTGAAGTTAATTTAGGCGTTAATAAACTGTTTCAGAGGAGTGATCATAGCGCTCTGCATCAGCAGTGCTGCGTCTGACTCCCTGCCAGCTCCCAGATCTGCTGCTCTCATTGGTTGCTGCGGCACGTCCAGCAGCTAAAATTATATTTTTCTAAATCCAGCAGCTGCTGCTTGTGAAGGGCATCGCATGGCTCAGATGCTCAGAAGCTCATGAGGCGCTGCAGGACCTTATGATGCACGTCAACCATAGAGCTTGCATAAAGAGGCTTCTTCTGCTGCCCAACACTGGAAAACATCGAAATCTAGATAAGCCAATTTTTTCTTAAAATAAGTGCATTTGTTCCTGGGTTGAGGAGGTAAAAGAGACCCTTTGCCAATGCAACAAGACAATTTAAATTTAAAATAGGAAAACACAATTGCATCGTCTTACTTCAAGTGCATATTATCAAATTATCTTATTTTAAGAGTAAAAATACTCATTCCATTGGCAAACTACCTCATTTACGTACTCGAATTAGGGGTAAAAATTCTTAATTTAAGAATTTTTGTCTTATTTCTAGATTGCTTTTCCAGTAAAAAGTGCGTTCGATGTGAACCTAGCATCAGCGCTATGATCTCCATGAGACAAACATGGAGGAATAAAAGGAAGAAGAGGAAAGTTCTGGCAGTTCTGGATGAAGACGGGACGAAACAGAAGAAAAGGAAATAAAAACATTTCTGTCTGGGTTCCTCATGCTGGATGTTCTGATGGTTCTGGTTCATTTTATTCCTGTCCAAATAGAACCGCTGATTAAAAAAGGACTTTAGCTTATAAATTATAGTTAATTTTTGCAGTTTTTAGCAGAAACAGCCTTTATTTCTGATCTCTGTTTGTTTCTCTTTAGATAAAACGTTTCTCTGCATCCCTGGAAGAAACAGAAGCTGAATTATAATCCATCAGCTCAGGGATTATATGAGCAGGCGACTAGTTTCAGCTTCTCTGCTGATCTGATCTGAACCTGTTCAGACATTAAACAGATGAACCCTCCATCGTCTCCACGCGTTTCTCAGACCAGAAAGGTGCTTCTGCTGCACAGATGGAGGTGATCTGCTGCTGCATGGAGCAGCTGTGCATTCTCTGATTGTACTCGATAAAAACAAACACGTCTCATTTTCCTGGCAAACACAGCCGGCTGGGTTTGGCTGCAGGGGAAGTGGAAAGTCTCTGCCCAGGAGAGGTGCACTGACCCTGGGCAGGGGATGAGCTCGGCCCCATCGGTCCCTCTGGAGGAACCGGGTTCATCAATAAAGGGTCGGTCCTCTGCTCCTGCTCACCTTATTACAGCAAAGACCAGCAGACATCTTGGATGCTCTCTTTCATTCTTTCCACTTCTCTCCTCTTTATTTAACACTTCCTGTCTCTATCATCATCCTTCTTCCTCAGCTTTTCTTTCTCCTTCCCGTCACATTTTAAGCCGACCACCTCCAAGCCTTCAGTTTGCTTTTACCTCCTCCTCTCTGCCCGTTACTGAAGAAGACAAAGCACCATTAGCAGAAGGCAGTTACCGCTTTCTGCTACTGGGTTCTTTAATGATTGACTGGAAATGAGCTCAGGGCTGATGATCAGAGGAAGGTAGAACTCAGGTAAACTGGGAAACATTTAGAGAAGGATTAACACGCAGAATGTTAGTAAAATGGTTGCTATGGTTTCTGTGCCTTTCTTTTTATTAACCAACAATCCCTGCAGGGTAGACCAGCCTGTGGTCTACAGACTACCTGCGAAAAAACTAAAAACCAAGACAGACAAAGCTTTGAGAAGTCACATTTAAAGAGCTAAACTTGGTTTACGGCAGACAGTCATCTAACAGTTGATGTTTCTAATCTATTGATGGTGGATTCCTCAGTAAACCAAATAATCTGGCTTGGTTGGACTTTGAGTAAATCCAGATATGTGAATAGACGAGCATCTGATGGGTTTGAGCGGCTGGACCGGGGTTATAAAAGTCAAAATAAGCTAACCGTGTTTGTTTATCCTTGGATTGGTTAGATTCTTTGCATATTAGTCTCCATTTGGCAGGTTTTACGGTAATAATGGAGGGTTTGCAGTTCTGTCGCTAAAGGCTAAATTAGGTTGAATAGATATGGAAAATGTAAGTTTATTCAGATGGGAAGGAGTTTGCTGATTGGAATTGCTGTAGAAGGCAAACGACTGATTTCTATGTAGTATTGTTGCACGGATACCAATACCAGTATCGGGCGGGGCCCCGCTCCAGCGCTAAAACGGTGATATCTGCATCGAACAAACATGTTTTTATGTCACTTGAACGCAGCCTTCTCTTTTCTGACACTCATTAGTGTTAACTATCGCTATTGGCCTGCTCCAGACCAATGAGAGCAGGCCAATAGCCGCTCTTAACCAATGCCGGGGCAGCTTTTTCATGTGGTGAGAAAACAAACCAGGAGAAAAAAATGTCTACGATGTGGAAATATTTCGCTATAGAAACGCAGGCGATTATATTGACTTAATGCAAGATTTGCGACCTGAATGCAGTTCTTCATAAATATACACAATTTAATTTCAAACATATGGTATGGTATCGGCCGATACTCCGCAGCCAGGTATCGGTGCAACTCTACTATCTAGGTTGAAAAGAGAAACGTTTATAGGAAGGTAGTTTGTTAATTACTTTGTTACCTTACTTAAGTAGAAATTCTGTTTATCTATACTTTATTAGCGTAATTATTCTCTAAACAACTTTTCAATTCTACTCTTTAAATTTAAAAAATAGACTTGTTAGCTTTATTTAATATAAGCTAATTTTCATTATAGCCTGCTGGTATTAAAAAAATAAATAAATAATTCTTTTCATCCAGACAATTAAGTTCTTTGTGGACTCGGTGCTGCCCCATCTTGTTGTTCACCACAAACCAAAATAAATAGTTTATCCAGATGATGCAAAGATAAATGTGACTCTGTTACCATTAGTTATAAAAATAAGAAAATTAAGTCTGAGGAAGTTATCATCCAGAATTGTAGAAAAATGTTCCTTTAATAGATTAGAGCAGTAAAGCTTCTGGCCTTAACAGTTTTTCCTGCATTACTTTGACTTTTATACTTTAAGTTCTTATAATAATTGTACTTTTACACTTTTACTGGAGTGAAAAGCCGAATCCTCTAACTTCTATAAAAGTGTTTTAAACAGCAGGATTTATGCTTCTACTGGAGTAATAAACATTAAGACTCTTAACAACTCTGGATATAAAATAATTTAATAAGGGTTATTGGCTGTCTGATTTAGCAGGCAGTTATTCCAGACTAAAGACATCTACTTATCAGTAAAAAAAATAGATCTCCTATTAATTCTCTTTCCCACATCTTTAAGCGTCTTTAAGTGAGAAAGTCCACCTTCAAACATCCTCAGTTCATCAGGATTATAATCCCACTAACATCTGCTGGTCTTGTTGGGAGCTCCAGACCTCCAGTATACCGCCGCTGTAGGTACCAGATCTGCTTGGGGCCCCGCCCCTTCTTATGATGTCATTGTATGGCAACTCCACTCGGACAAACTGTATCGCACCCGTTTCTCAAGAATCAAATCTCTTTTAGAGTCCTAACATATTATTTCCTATATTTGCTATTATTTTACATTTCATTGGCGATCTAAAGTTGCTGAAAGTAGAAAACAATCATTGTCAGTCTGGAAGGAAACTATTTCGTTCTAAGACTGAGTCTACGCTTATCTTTATTCTTTTTATTAACATCTGAGGTCAGAGGAGGACAAATGGAACGTCTTAAAAAATGACTTTCATAGAGATTTTAGAAAATAAAACAGTTTTTCTACTTGTAGAAAATGAACGGTTGTTGTTGACATGAATTTAAAAGTGTTGTAGCTTAATGTGGCTAACTGAGCGAGCTAAAAGAGGCTAACCTGTTAGCTACTGAGCACAGCTAGCCGCAGGGCTACCCAGCTCTTTATATCACGGTCTAACAGTTACTTTGTTCACCAGAAACAGATTTTTATCAGTTTTGCTATGAATCAGGTTAAACCTTATCAGTCATTAGACACGCTAACGCTACAGATGCTCCCGACTCGGTACACTGACGCTACGTAATGCTATTAGCGTTGTCTGGGCAACCACAATGTTTTACACCATGTGGCAACGTTCAGCCAATGATGTAGCGTAACGTTACTGGCAGGAAGCAGGACCAGAACATGGTTTGGGGTTGCGATGATAGCAAAAACGAATTTACTCAATCGCTCCAATCACAACCCCTTTACAGAAGAACAGAAGACCTTGACTATTCAGCCAGACCAACTATTCCCTCTAACGACCCCCCTTTCAGAGATATAGACAGGTATGGGGCATTGCAGGCTAACAAAGAAGCCAAACGACCCCCATTCCAAAGGGGGGGGACCCGTTCATCCGTTTCTATTTCCTAAACATAAACCAGGCTTTGTTGGGCTGCTGGATAAAACCTGGAACTAAATGCTATTTCTGACATTTTGAATTGAAAAATCTTCCTGGATGGAAGAGAAACGTCTTCAGACTTGGAAACAACGTCCAGAGGATTGATTTTTAACTTTTTTGGAACGACGATGACCTGGATGACCGAGAAACTTCACCAACAACATCTAATATCTGATTAGAGTTGGGAATTGATAAGATTTACACGATTCTGATTCTCTTATTGATTCCGTTTCATGAAAAATCATTACTGTACCATTTCGGGAAATAAACTCATCTCCCCCTGATTTAAATAAACGAGCGCCACCTTTCTCTCGCTCCCTGAACTGCGGAGTAACTTGGTAGCATGTTTCGTTACATCCATTGCAATAGCTAGAATCATGTAAGAATTCCAGCTACCAGTAGTTCTAGTTGAACATGCTAGCAATGAAGGATAATAGCAGACTCCCTGAATAACCCCAAACAGAGGAAGGAAACTGGTTTATTTCACATTAAGAACAGCCAGTGATATAAAACTAGCTACTAACCACCAGAGTTTCCTTCCATGCTGCTCGTAACTTTAACTTTTGTCCGGAAGCATCAGAAACACGGCATTCGTTAAATGCATTCATTAAGTTTCCTGCTGCGGATGTTATTGTAACTTTGCAATGATTGCAAATCGCCTTGTTTCCATCTTTATCTTCCTTAAAATGAAGCCGAACTTTCGATCGCTTTACCCCGATGGGACGGCATTTTTTTTTTTGTTTTGCTTTCCTAGACTTCCGCCTGGTCACGTCTTACTTGTTAATTGAATGCCGTGTGCGTAACTTGCGTAAAAAATGTGACGTAAGTCGTGCGGCACAGCGCTAGGCTTTGGTTTCCTGCCTGGAACCGTTAAGAGAATCATTAAGCTAGCTGCCAGACAGCGCCATGGAATTGGAACACATGGAACCGGTTCTGAACAGGAACTGGTTTTCTATTCCAATCACTATATGTGATTTATTGTTTCTGTAGTTGAGGTCAAATACCAATCAGATATGCAACAAATCAACATGTAGAGATCAAACGATAGCATTCCTACTGCAGATAACAAAATGAAGTCTGGCAGCAGATAAATAACCAGGTTGAAGCTTGTTCTGGATCTCTGGTTCCTAATAGGATGAGATGATAATGTGTGACATTCACTAAGTCTGCTATCAGGTTTTAAAGCTTATTGACTCCTCCTGGTTAGGATGTGATGAAGACCCAGCAGATAGAAGTGATGATGAGGAGGAGGGGAGATGGTGTCAATGTAACCAATGGAAATAAAGAGAGTAGAAAATGCTTTATGGAAACCAAAAGACTTAAAATACTGATCCCATAAAGAAGCAAATATAACAGAAATGTTTTTGTGTTTCCTAAAATCCTTTGACATAAATGATGACAACAGAAAGGTGAAAAGCAGAGTGTCTGGTTAGTGTGTGTCTGTACCTGGAAGCAGATGTGCTGCTGGACGTCCTCCACCCTGAACTGCTTCAGGAAGCGCTCGTCTCGACTCCAGAAGAGCCGGATGTCTGGGATGCTGTAGAGGATCATGGCCAGTCTCTCCAGACCCAAACCAAACGCCCAGCCCAGCTTGTTCCCGGCCCCGGCTGCAAGGAAGGAAGGCAGGGGGCAAAGGTCAGGGGGCGGGGCCAATAATCCCAACGTTCACTTCCTACATAGGTTTGCCTTGCTAAGTGGGCCTAATGGCTAACCTCAAAACCAACTTGATGCAAACCGATCGTTTACATCATTTCTCTGAGTTTTCAGAACTTTCAGATGCTGACTGGAGGTAAGTCCTGTTTCTCTGACTGTGACTAACTGGATGTGCTCTCTTCATCCTTCATCTTGCTTGTTTGTAACTGACCAAATACTTATTTTCCACCATATTTTGCAAATAAATTCTTTAAAAATCAGACAATGTGATTTTCTGGATTTTTTTTCTGATTTTGTCTCTCATAGTTGAGGTATCTATGATGAAAATTACCGGCCTCTCTCATCTTTTTAAGTGGGAGAACTTGCACTATTGGTGGCTGACTAAATACTTTTTTGCCCCACTGTATATATATATATATATATATATATATATATATATATATATATATACATATATTAGGGGTGGAACGGTTCACAAAATCCACGGTTCGGTTCGGTCTATGTTGATTGTTAGCATGACATGTTGGTCGTGTTGCTGTTAGCATAAACAAAACGTGTTGCACACTGTTGCACTTTTATCCCCAGCTTTCTTTCCGCCGTCATCGTAGGTCACTCTAAATGCAAAGCGCTCCCATACAGCAGACCTATAAAGTGCTGCTGGCGCGTCTTCCAACTCCTGTTCTTTCCCACTCGCCATACCCACACAATTCTCCACAACTACTGATTTTTTTCTGCTACACCCGGCTACGCTGCTTCGCTTCTTCTTCTTCTTGTTTACTACTGGTGGTTGGCTTTGGTCGCAGTATCGCCACCTTCTGCTCTGGAGTGTAAACGCTTCGCCTATGAGAAAAAGGAGCAGCGCATGAACCGAACGAAACACACGGGAACCGAACCGAGACAGTCGAACCGAACGATTTCATAAACCGCTCCATCCCTTATATATATATATATATATATATATATATATATATATATATATATATATATATATATATATATATATAGAAAAAGAAAAAAATATTTGCGGGCTGTAGGTCAGAGACCTGTTGATGTCTAATGAACTCTACCAGAAACCAAACCGGTCTCTGGAGTCTGTTTACATTGAGGATCTGGATTCTGACCCGTATTCATAGATAGAGCTGCATTAATGACTGCAGCTAAACGGCTGATTATAAAGCCTTCAACATGGTCAGTGATGGGAACAACAGTGGCATGACCATCAGCGTGACACATTCAAAGACAGATATACTGATGAAGATTCTCAGTCATCCAGGTCATATACATTCCGTAATAGTTTAAAAACAATCCACTGGACTTGGTTTCCATGGTTTAAAAATGTTTCGCTTCAAAAACTGATTTTCGCTGGAAAGTTTCAATTTGCATGTTTCCAAGCGATACAAGGCCTTGTCTCTATAAAGACTCAAACTCACTGCGGATCCAGACATTTTTAATTGAGAAAGCTTCCTGAAGAGGAAGCGAAACATCTTCAGACCTTGGAAACAAAGTCCAGTGGATTGATTTTAAACTTTTACGGATTCAAAGAGAGAAAGCACTAATAAAGTGTTCATCTGGTTTAAGAGCACTTATTTCACTCTCAGCGTTTGCCATCATTCTGCTTCAGACTGAACACCCTTTCAGTGGGCAGAGGGCGAACGTTCTGTGGAGCTAAGGATTATGGGTAAATCCTTGGACTCAGGCAAAGTCGGCCCGGGACCGAGATAAGAGCGAGGCGGTTTGTCTCTCAGAGACGAAGACTAAAGGAGACCAACCCGCTTCCTGTTCCCTGAAGACCCACCAGGAACTAAAACTGACATCCAGCTATAAGAGCCTGACGGGGACGCCATTAACGCCTGAATACTTTCAAAGGCGACATTTAAATGCCAGAAAACTCACATCATGATGCTTTTTTTTTCACAAAACACAGCAAAGAACAAAAAATAAATAAATAATCCACATAAATGTAAAAAAAACAAAAACAAAATCAACAAGCTAGAAAAAAAACACTAAAGTACTTATTATTATCAGTAAACTAAGACCTGACAAGAATAAACTGTTAGTTTCCGTATTTTCTGTGTAACTTTAGCATTAATATAAATGTTTGATATAAAGCAGCAAGGAAGCATAAAAACAAACTTATTTAGTTCTGGTTCTGTTAAAACAGGCTGAGCAGCTGAGGACCAGAGGAGGCTGGAAACTTTACAAAGATGCTAAAATTAGGTGAATGGATGAATGAATGAATCACATCAGTGGAGAGATAATGGAGAGATGGAAGAATCGGTGGAAGGAGTCTCGCTAAATCCCGAATCTTATTCCTGTTGACATTTTAAACAAAAAAAAAGGCTTTCTTTTCTCGTTAATAAGAAAATGGCTGCTCACTGATGGACTCAGTCTGGTCACATGATGATACGATAAACCTGAGTAATTAGGATCAGGAAGATAGTGAAAAAAAGTGATCTGAGAACAGAGCCCTGTGGAACTCCAGCTTTGGATTAATTTGTTTTAATTATAACTAATCACTAAAAGCTGCTCTGATTGTATAAATTGGATCTGAACCAGTTCAAAGTCTAATCCACTGTCTAGCCTAATAATCTGGATTATGATCAGGTGTGTTAAACATACTGAACACCAGTAAAATCAATAAAAAAAAACAGTAAATGCTTTGGTTTGTACAAAAAAGGACTAGCTTTAGTGGACAAAAATAAACAGATACATTAGATAGCTTCATTTCTACAGGAAACATCTGCAATCACATCTGTCCTGGGATATCTGATGATGCTTTAATTGATGGAGAACAGAGAAGCAGATCATGGCTTGTCTACAGTGAAAAGAAGGACTGGGTTATTTACTTTGGCCTTTTTGGAAACACAGGAAGGAGCAATCAGCTAAGTGAGCTTAGTGCTTGGAAAAAATCTTTCATTCCTTTAGAGACAGCATGAAAAGTCAGCTGAGTACAAAACATAGAGAGGAAAACAAGAAGAAAAGGGACAAGAAGAGAGGGACACAACCTAGAACAGAGAATGGATGTCTATTCTATTAACATTTCTCCATCTGTAGAATGGGGCTGTTTTATGGGTTGTCTTCTCTATTCAAAGGGCCCCCTGCCTGTCTTTGCGTAGGGCCCCAAATTTCCTAAATCCACCCCTGGCAGGCAGTAAACAGCAGCTAGGTTAGAACCACAATCCAAGACATGTTTTTATGCTGCTGTGCGTTATGCAGAAGTTAGGCTGAGAGGAACCTTAAGCTCTAATATAGACCAGAAACTTCTTTCATTCCAGACATCGACTTCCTGGATCCTCTCAGAGGAATAGAGACCTTCAGGAAGCAGGGTTAGGTCTCTATATGATCTGCAGAAATAACAGGAGCTGTTTGGATGTCAGGCTCGTACTCTGAGGTCAGCGGCGGGGTGAGGAGTGGGCGGAAGCTGCATGTTTTCGGACGCTCTGCTAATGGACAAACACGCACAAATGAACTGGTTTGATTGGAAATGGTTGCATGGTCATGATGGTGTGCTAAACGCCGCGCCGCCTCCTCATGGGGACCAGTCCGTGCGCGTGAACACAAACTCACACTTCCTCAGCCCGGCGCCAATAAGCAGGCAGGGAAAGCGGTTTCTATGCTAATGAGCGGCGGGTCGACGGGTCACATTATAAATCTTCTCTTTATGATGTTCGTTCATGGAAGGTCCCTCCTCCTCATCTTCATCTCAGCCCTTTATTTCTTCAACAATCCTCACAGTTTCTCTCTTTTAATGGAAGAAGTCGTTCCCGCCGTCCTCCTCGTTCGTCTGCTTTTACCTCCTCCATCATTTCCCTCCTCTCCTCTCCCACTTCTCTCCTAATTATATTTACAATGAATATATTTATGGCTGCATTATTGGAGCACTGATGGTCGCGGTTTGGAGCTGCTGGATCTGGATTAGGTGCAATGATTACACAAAACAAGGCTTGTAATTAGACAGGGTGAAGAGAGGAAGACATTAAAAACAAATATATTAACATTAGTCCACTGGAAATTAAAATATTAATGAAAAGAAAAGAGCCTTATAAACAAGATTAAACTGTAAAACTCAACGTTTAACGTCTGAAAAAGCTCATTTATAACTCAGTGTATCCCTGAGTTCAGGTCTTTCCTTTCCTTAATAGGCTGCTTCTTTAGCAACATCCAATCAGAGCTGCTCCCAGATTATGGAGTAAAATCCTTCCTTTATTATTGCAAAGAAAACATTTACTAAATAGAAATTTGATAAAATGATTTATGATCAAAAATAATGTTTTGATCGGTAAGTTTGTGCACAGCAGAGATGGAATCGAACAAAGGACGGACTAATGAGCTGAATAACCTAGTTATAGTTAGTGTGAGTGGAACTAACTAGAAGGAAGCCAAGGGGAAAGGAAACAAGCACCAGGGGGCGACAGAGAGTAACTATAGACTGATTGAATATAATAGAAAATAAACTAAAGATCAACACTCAGAATCCCAAAACCACGACAGTGGATAAATGAATGGCTAAAATTAGTTTGTATGGTTTTGAGAGTATTTTTTTGTTTGTTTTTTCTTAGACTTTATTTCATTTTTTGCTTATTAATATTGGTTTTATGCTCTTGTTGCCTTTATTTATTTAATCCATTGGGATGACGTTCTGGTTCCAGTAGCTTATATAGAGTTCAAAGAGATAAAGCAAGATGCCATTAAAGATAGAGTGTATATAAAAACAACTGGGGTGGGTGAGAAGAAAGAGAGGGACATTCAGAAAAGATCAGCAGTACCTCGTACCTACGACAGCCAGAATATGGGTCAAACGCTCTAAGTTTTATTGACATGAAAGAAAGAAATTCTTTGACGCTCAGGCCCCGGCAGGAGAATTTGATGCTGTGAGTTCGAATTCCCTCTTGGTTAAATCAAGTAGGTCTGATCCAGCTGTCATTGCTAACCTCAGTGCTCAGTGTGGACCCTT